ATTTTTTCCAAAGAAGACATACAGATGGCCAACAGACACATGAAAAGATGATCAGGATCACTTTTCATCAGGGAAATGTAAATCAAATCCAGACTACAATGAGATATCACCTCACGCCTGTCAGAATGGCTAAAATCAACAACACAAGGAACAACAGGTGTTGGCAAGGATGTGGAGAATGGGGAACCCTTTTGCAGGGTTGGTGGGAATGTAAACTGGCACAGCCACTCTGGACAACAGTATGGAGGTTCCTCAGAAAGTTAAAAATAGCATTACCCTGCGATCTAGCAATTGCACTACTAGGTATTTACCGAAAGAATATGAAAATACTAATTCAGAGGGATACATGCACTCTGATGTTTATATAGCAGTATTATCTACAATATTCAAATTATGGAAGCAACACAGGTTTCCATCGATTGATGAATGGATAAAGAAGATGTGGTGTGTATATATATACATGGAATATTACACAGCCATAAAAAATAATGAAATCTTGCCATTTACAATAACGTGGATCTAGAGCGTATAATGCTAAGTGAAATAAGTAAGGAAAGACAAATGCCGTACGATTTCACTTAAATGTGGAATCTAAGAAACAAGCAAAGGGGAAAAAAGAGGCAAACTAAGAAACAAACTCTTAACTATACAGAACAAACTGATGGTTATCAGAGGGGAAGTGGGTGGGGGGGATGGGCTAAATGGGTGAAGAGGGTTAAGGAATGAAGAGGGTCAAGGAAATCATTTCTTGTGATGAGCACTGGGCGATGTATAGAAGTGTTGCATCACTATATTGTACACCTGAAACTAATATTACACTACTAACTGGAATTTAAATAAGAACTTAAAAAATAAACATAAATAGGTCAGATGAAAAAAATGAGCAAGGATGTGAATTGACATTTCTCCAAGGAAGATATACAAATTGCCAATTAGCATGTGAAAAGATAGATGCTCAGTATCATTAGTCATTAGGAGCATGCAAATCAAAATCACAAGATAACTACTTTACACCTTTTAGGATGGTATAATTTAAAAAGAGAAAAAAAATAAAGTTGTGTTGAGCATGTGGGGAAATTGAAACCCTCATACATTTTGATGGGAATGTTAAATGGTGCAGTGCTATGGAATACACTTACTAATCTAGAAAGAAATGTACAGGAGTGTATTTGAAGGCTACCATAAAACTTAAGAGATATAAAAGACTTGAATAAATATTGTTAGATGGAATAGCTCAGTTTCATAATGCCAATTTTTCTCAACTAGTGAACTTAAGGCAATCTTAATTAAAACATCAAGGGTTCAATGGATCGTGGATCACCACATCAAAAACCAGTGATGTATGGTGACTAACATAACACAATAAAATAAAAAAACAAAAACAAAAACACCAAGGGTTTGGGGCACCTGAGTGGCTCATTCAGTTAAGTGTCTGTCTTTGGCTCAGGTCATGATCCCAGGGTCCTGGGATTGAGCCCCACATCGGCTCCCTGCTCAGCAGGAAGCCTGCTTCTCCCTCTCCCACTCCCCCTGCTTGTGTTCCCTCTCTCGCTGTCTCTCTCTCTGTCAAATAAATAAAAATCTAAAAAAAAAAAAAAAAAAAAATAGCATGTTATGGTGTCAAAATAGGAATAACTGTAGAACAAAATAGAATGTCCAGGATAATGTAATTTTCAATAATATATACATGGCATTTCAAGTCAGTGATTAAGGATAGAGTAAAAAAACCCACAGACTAAAAGAACTTAACAGTATATATGATAAGGTGCTAAGAATGAGATGTCAGAATTTCTTAAAATGTCAGAACAGTAATGCAGGTTTTACTGTTATCCATTGCTTTATTTTCTTATTGGACCAAGAAATTAAAAATATATTTTTGGCCTTTGAAAAAGGTCAAAATATCAACAAAACATAAAGAAGTCCTTTTTAGAGCTTAATTCATCCAAAGAGGTGTTTAAACATCCATTCATCATTATCTTCTAAGCTGAAAAATAGAGCTTTCCAGAATTTGAGTGTAATATACCTATCACTGTAGCATCTGACTGAATGATGAAAAGCAGCCTTCAGTGAGGGAGTACTCTATTATTTCTGAGTGTGAAACCAATCTGAAAATCTAGAACAGTTGACAGAACTACCAAACACTTGACATTTCTGATAGCCTATAATCTTGAGTTAAAACATTTTTTAAGATTTATTTATTTATTAGAGGGCGCCTGGGTGGCTCAGTCGTTAAGCGTCTGCCTTCGGCTCAGGTCATGATCCCAGGGTCCTGGGATCAAGTTCCACATCGGGCTCCCTGCTCTGCGGAAGCCTGCTTCTCCCTCTCCCACTGCCCCTGCTTGTGTTCCTGCTCTCACTATGTTTCTGTCAAATAAATAAATAAAATCTTTAAAAAAAAAGATTTATTTATTTATTAAAGAGAGAGAGTATGAGAGGGGGGAGGGTCAGAGGGAGAAGCAGACTCCCTGCTGAGCAGGGAGCCCAATGCAGGACTCATCCTGGGACCCCAGGGTCATGACCTGAGCCAAAGGCAGTCGCTTAACCAACTGAGCCACCCAGGCACCCAGAGTTAAAATTTTTCTGGGGCGCCTGGGTGGCTCAGTTGTTAAGCATCTGCCTTCAGCTTGGGCCATGATCCTGGGGTTCTGGGATTGAGTCCCGCATCGGGCTCCCCGCTACATGGGAGGCCTGCTTCTCCCTCTTCTGCTCCCCCTGCTTGTGTTCCCTCTCTCGCTGTGTCTCTGTCAGATAAATAAATAAAATCTTAAATAAATAAATAAAATAAAATTTTTCTAGTTTAATAGAAAAAAGATAAGCAAAGATGATTAATATGGAATCTGTGTTAAAACTATCCTATAGTGAGCCAGACAAAGGTACACTGGTGAAAATTTACTATCAGCATCCTTATTGATATGAAACATTATTATTTTTAATGTAGTAGTTTAGAAATTCTCCAAAATTTTAGGTTCTTATGTATACTCCATATCTACAATGGAGTCAGTGATGTTGAGTTTGAGAAAACATTACTTTACCACTGTTTATCATCTGTAAAACCAAAGAATATAACTAAATGTGGATCTAGATAGAAAGTGTAAAATTTGTAGACAGATTCATTATATATGAGAATCCAAAATAGAATATGTGAATATTTTTCTTATTGGATTTCATAATATTCGGATTTGCCCTAAAGAGATTATATTCTTTCAACTTAGAACTATATATATAGTACATTATTTGATTCGCTAAAAAGTGAGCATTCTTCCTGTTTATATAATAATCATTCAAAATTACAGCTGTTACAATTCTTTAGACATTTTTGGTCTTAGTTTATGATCTTCATGATTGATGCCTCAAGTATTTTGTTACCTGAAGTTGAGTACTTTCCTAAATTGATTTAATTCATTGGTTTTATGCACTTACTCAGTATTGGAAAGATTTGAGTAAAAATGAAAAATTCCATGTAAGCATTATAAGAGTGTTCTGGGTCAAGCTGCTTGGGTTTGAGTGTTCACTAGCTGAATGACCTTGGACAAGTTACTTAAACTCTCTATGCCTGCGTTTCCTGGGGCTCTTGTTAGTCTACTGTACCATGAGTTCGCACCATTTCACCTCCATGCAGGGCCAAATGATGGGAGATATACAAAGAGGGGAAAGAAGCAGAAAGGGCCTTGGTCCCATCTTCCTGGAATCACGATTTCACTATACCAAGAGGAAAGTTCCCCTCTCTCAGACTCTTGCAGGTTTCCACTGATACCACTAGCACAGGATATCTTGGGGAGCTGGGGTGTGAGAGGACAATGAAAAGAGATAAATAAAATGAAGGGAGATTCCTATACTCTCTCTGAGGATAAGGCGTTTCCTTATCTAATACTTGAGCCACAGCTAGAGTGCTTTTCCCAGAGTTCTTTCTTTGCCACAGCACACACTTTTGGATTTCTGGCTGCGTTAAGTTCAAGTTGGAAGTATCAAAAAGGGGAAGGGGGAAAATGGAGGAACAGAGTAGGAGGTAACTCCCTTCCAGTTCAGAAATACCTTGGATCCTAGTATTCTCGGACTCATCTTTTCTACTCTTTACAAAAGAGACTTGAAATAGGTGCTCCATGCGTTCTGTTCAGGTTTTATGGTTTCATTCAATGGGCAGGACAGGGAAGAGTGGTCAACTCAATTGTATCCAGAACCAGACCATAAATTTCCTTTTAAAAGAGAGCACTTTTGTAATATTTTCACCATCCCTTCTGCTTTATCTTAGCCAAGACTATTCCCATACTAAAGTACAATTTGAATTGCATTACTATGTTGCAAAAAAATAAAATAAATAAATGCTTTATTAACTCTCCATTGACTCCAGCATTCAAATTCCTCAGCTGTACATACCTCATATCCTAGCCAAACAGGAATACTTGGTGGTATATAGTTACGCTATTCCACACCTATAACTTTTGTTAAATTCTCTCTACCTAGTTTCCCAACCTTTCAATTTTTGCCTCTTCAAATTCTACACATCTTTTAAAGCTTAAATGTATTGCCTTCTTAAAATTTGTTTTTTAGTTCTCTGCCCTGCTCTTATGTGCTCCCGATAAAAGGAGTATGTGATCTCTTCAGCCTTTGAATAACTGTTACTTTTATTTGTGCCTTTTTCAATATGTGTGTATACATATTTACATATGTATACATACAGTTTGTTTTAGGATAATTTTTGTGTTCAGAGATATAGTAACTGTGTCTAGCACAGGCTATTATGTTCAGATCCAATAAATTTAGGTAACATTTAGTGCCTACCATGTACTTTTTCACTTCTCTATAACAATTCTTTGAGACATTTATTCTGACTCTTTTTCCTATGAGGACACTGAGGGTAAGTAAAGTAACATCTTAATTCTTATACAGTGGAAGTTTCTTGAGTGCAGAAATTTCAATATTCAGTTTTCTTCCAACTAATACCTACCATATAGTAGCTACTCAATAAGCATAGCAATAACCCTTTTTTCTTCTTTCTACAGTACCTTGGCCATGTAGAAGTTGATGAGTCAAGAGGAATGCACATCTGTGAAGATGCTGTAAAAAGATTGAAAGCTGTATGTATTTGATGGTTGCCACTGTTGATCTATATACTGAAATATTTTCTTAAGAGGTTTTGCTCAGTAGATTTTAGTGATTCACTATCCAATAAGACCCGTGTTTCTCTTAAGGCAAAAGATGTGGGCTGTCTAATAAAGAACATCACATGTTATCCATCCCAAGGTGTAAATTATAAAGACCAACTTTGTCAGGTTAGGCCAGACATTATCTAAAAGGTACTTTTGATTCAGAACCCGTATGAAACAAGTGGTATGAAATCTTACAGGTGAATAATGTTCTAAAACGAAGAGAAAACTGTTACAATTAGCATCTTAACCTAACTCTGATAACTGGGTTATAAATTACTGATGTTAAATTTACTGTAAGAAACAGTAGAAGAGTTATCTGTGATGATGGCTAGTGAGGTTTACAGTTGGGAGAGGGCTTACTGTCTTGACTACTATTCTTCAGTTTCCTTCTGTACACCCCTCTAACATAAATAGTGTATTTCCCCTGCTTTTTGCACAAACTTCAGCATACTTGAAATGGAAAGTCCTTTTCCAGGATAAATAATGTTTTCTTTGCCTGTTTTACCATAGAATAAATCCTAGGCACATGTTTGTGTATTTAATAAAAGGAGAGAATGGATTTCACAGTTCATAAAGGTTCACATAAAAGTGTTAATATCATATTTTGGATAGGTTTGAAGAATGTCTCATAAACTCTGACAGTCCTCTTCACAACCTTCCTTCTCTCCAATGTGTGGCCTTTTCCCCCCTTTGCTATGAAAGCTTTAACCATTACTTCTGCATGTCCTTGCCCCAGAGAGCATTAAATACTTGTTTGCTTTGGGTTTGCTGGTATGGTAGGCTGCCACAAGTTTGGCTACTAATGAGCGCTTTTTTTTTTTTTTTCCTCAGTTTGCTTAATCAAAACTTTTCTGCTTCTTGGTACATTTTATATGACCTCTCATCTATAATCCCTCAATATAAAAGGTACGAGATTAAAGAAGCAACCAACTTAGAGAAGTGTATTACATTTTGGAGCAAATGTCTGTGAATCTGTTGTAGAAGGGAAAGGAGGAAAAGAAGAACTGATTATAGTATGCAAGGAACTAAAAAAATAAACCAATATGTAGAAACATGTACACATACATATACATACATACATACATACCATTTACCTCAGATTTTGGTCATTTAAATTCTTAAATGATTGAAGCCCTTCCTATTCTAATCATCATTAATGTTAAAGGGACTTATTTTCATCTATTATGGTATGTGAAGCTATAATTTATAGACTTGCCATGTCTACCTGAATATATTCTCCAGTTAAATACAGCCTCAAGACAGTGTAATTTTCCAAGAAACATAAATTCAGTCTCTTCTTTAACAGAATAATTCTAAGTTCACTAGAAGAATAAGTTTAGCTTAGAAAATTTTAAAAGTAATACAATGATTTGTCCTACTAGTTATTAAAGAATATTTAAACATAATACTAATGACTGAAAACAACAGGCAAATCAGTGAATAGACTAAAAAGAACTGAAACAAACTACAATAACAAAAACTACAAAATCTTATAACTTACATGACTTACAGGTAGAAGGTCATTGTGGAATGAGCCTATAGAAAGTCTTTAATTCAGAGTATGGCTTCATGTTCACTCTCTAAATAAGGGAAAACTAGGGGTGGTTTTAACTTGCACAGAAGATATTAAGAAATGGTATTTAGCTGTTTAATGAGCAGTGAGTCCTCTTAACTAGTATAGAAGCATCTCTTCATTATATAGATAATATAAGTTCATTGTGTACAATACAAATGAATAAAAACAGTACATAAATTTTTTTTGTAATCACAGAGATAGCCACTATTCACCATTTAGTTTTAAAACTAATTTTTTTAGGGGCACCTGGCAGGCTCAGTCAGAAATGCATGTGACTCTTGATCTTGGGGTCATGGGTTCGAGCCCCATGTTGGGTGTAGAAATTACTTATGTAAATAAATAAACTTAAAAAAATAATTTTTTTAATTGACTGAATTTTTTTACCTTTTTATTTTTTTAACCATGAAGATTATAAACTTATAAACATTATTTGAGGTATAAGACTGTTTAGATAATAAAATTTAATAAGTTTTATTTTCACCATAAATAGAAACCATATTGCCATTTAAAAAATAATGCCTGTGCCTGGAACAGTGTCTGGCACATAGTAGCCACCCAAAATTATTTCCAGAATATACAGAAAACAGTTCAGTCCTCAATATGGTCAAATCAAATCTCATAACAATTATCATAACTGTATCTTACATTTAATGTTTTAAAGTTTATGAAACCCTTTGTATATCTCTAAATGATCCTTATTTCCCTATGGTCATTTATGACTAACATGAAGTTTTATTTATGTTGATTGCTTTTCTGGACATACTTTTGAACTTTGAACTTTGAGGGGAATTGACTGCTTCTGAACTTTTCATTCAAGAAGTTCTTTAAAATTTTTCAGACTAATGCTATCCAAGAGACTTGACAAATGTTGTGTATAATTTCACATAGGCAAACATGTATTTAAAAAGCAAGCTTGAATTTTGGGGTAACAGGTCAGTTTCCTGTTTATTGTACTCAATGAAACTTTCTCCTATAAATACTCTTTCTAAGGCTATACTGAGAAGTTTGCAGAAAGTTGGAAGTCTTCAGGATGTTGTTCTTCTCAGACCATATTAGTCCACAAATATTTGAGATTTTTGTCTTTTCATATTTTTACTATGCAGAAATTTCTGGTTGCCTCCCCCCTTACCAAACAAATATTCACCTAACAAACATTTATGATCTGCTGTACCAGATGCTTATATTGTGCCAAAAGCTATGTCTCCTTCCTTAGAGTTTCAAATAAATGGAAGCAAATGTAGAAGTGTACAAGATTACAGATTAAAGAAGAAATAACATGTTTTTGGAACTTAGTTAGAATGCCAGAGTTTTAAAATTTAAAGAATTATATAGCTCAGATATACAAGTTAAGCAGCAAAACAAACATCTTAAACCTATCACTTGAATGACGTTTGAACTAAAAATGTGACATTCTGGAGCTTTTTAAATTTGTGAATAATTGAAGAAGCCAGATAATTTGCAAGTATAGTTCTTATTTATTCTCAAAGTAGTCCCTTACAATTTAGGATCACTTTAACTTCAACTAGAAGTTACTGTGTAATTAATATTCTCAAATGAAAAGATATTATAACTAAACAAGATCACCTTTTTTTTTTAAGATTAAGTTTTAAACCTGATTCTCAGAGCATAAATATGTTTAAATTCTTTTTACTTTGTATGATAAAGTTAGTTACAGCTATTTTCAACTCATTTACTTTGTGACATAAGTGCACAAATTAGCCACGTTGGGACTTGGATCATATAGGATAAATGACAGAAACAACTATTGCCCATTTTCAGTGCCTTTATTGACATAGTTGCAGGGTGAGTAGTAATGTCATTTATCAGTCTGTTTTGTAAAAAGTGTTTCGGGCCTTTGGTTATCTTGCTTGACACTGGTCCAAGATGTTCTTCCTTTTAAAAGGTCTTTTCTTCCCATTGTCTCTAAATGTCTCTCCTTCTCTGTCTTGGTTTTAGACTAGTTTCATTATACTGACAGTTCCTAATATGTTGGTTTTTTATTCACTATTTGATATATTTGCTTTAATATATGTTCTTGTTTTAGCAGGTAAAAGAATCATAACTTGTTTTTTTTAAAAGCACTAATACTCTCTAATAACTATCTTTTAATGCATTTTGCACGTCAGCTTTTTTCATTAACAACTGAGATCTTTTATGAAAAGAGGGCAAACTACATGTTTAACAAGAGCTTTTCTGGGAGCTGAACTAAATATTAACAGATCTCTTTCCTCACGTCCCTGTCCCTCAAGAATGGTGAATCTTTTAACTTTGGCTGCATCTTTAAAAGCTGATGGTCACTCACAGTCTAACAAAACTAGGGTCACCAAACTTGGCAGTAGAAATAAACTTAGTCTTATTGCAATAACTACCCCAATTTATTGTTTTTCCATCTTAAGTTCAAAACATTTTTTGGAAATATTTGATGCTGTTGGTGATTTTCAAAACTTGGGGAGGAAACAAACTCTTCAGTGTTTGAGAGTAGTGAATGACTTTACAAATTGAAAGAGTAAAATTTCAGTACAGTTGTCTTTTTCCTAGACATTTATCCAACACTAAAAACTGATTATAAAAACTTAAATAGTTCAAAGTTAGGAAAAACTGATTATAAAAACTTAAATAGTTCAACCAAAGTTAGGAAATGTAAAGTTAAGATAGCTTGGGTTAGAACCCACCTACTTTGCGTAAGTTCTTCTGATCTTAAATGGTGGCCAGTTTTCAAAGTTTCTACATGCTTCAGAATTGGTGCTGGTGGGACGCCTGGGTGGCTCAGTCGGTTAAGCGGCTGCCTTCGGCCCAGGTCATGATCTCAGGGTCCTGGGATCGAGTCCCATATCGGGCTCCTTGCTCAGTAGGGAACCTGCTTCTCCCTCTCTCTCCCTCTGCTTGTGCTCTGTCAAATAAATAAAAAATCTTAAAAAAAAAAAAAAAGAATTGGTGCTGGAACCATAGATAGCTGTCTCTCTTATCTACATAGTCTCAGAGTTGTATACTTATAACTGTCAATGCAAGTTTCTTTATTCTAAAACTAGCATTTTAAAAGAAAACAAAACCCTATTTTTAAAATTTCATTTGTGGTTCACAGATGTTGTTTGGTTCTCAGATATATTTTTCATCTGCAGTGAAAGCATTAGCTTTGTGTTCTTTAAAGACGATTTATTCTGTGTTTGGAATAGAACGTATCTATTATTTCCCCATGATTGTTGTGGAATTGATCAGTCCACACATACACATACTTACAAATTGATCCCAATGGATGAGTAAGGATTCTCTAAGTGACATCTTGAACTTAGTAAGAAAAAGTCTGACAAAGATTCTTGCTGCACACTCTTAATTTTATGTGTTGCATTTTTTATGTGGTTATTCAAATGTGGACTGTTTTTTTAATTGATGACTTCCATATAGTAGACCACTGATTTTTAAATTGAAAAGTGTGTATGAAAATTGAAATATGTATTTACTACTCACTATTAGGAAATTTAAAATACAAATCTCACCAAACCAATATGTCTTAATCTTTTTCTCTGCTGCCAAATTTGGATAATCTCTGTTTCAAAAGTAAATAGAGAATACTAAACTAACTAGTTGTTCTGCATGGGTACAGGTTCTGATTTCTTCTCTTTCCATGGATTCTTAGGCCATACAGTATGTTTCCCTGCATTTTCATGCACCCTTCCTTTTTCCCTGTCACTCCTGGTATGGATAACTCTTTAAAACTCTCACTCCCTCTCCCTCTCCTACTTTGCCCTTTACCCAACTTCAGTATGTGCTTATTGGTGTGAAACCCTGGGACATTTAGCCCATACAATAATAGCGCTCGACTTGTCCCCCTGTTCCTCCAGGAAAGGAAGTTCTTCAAAGGCTTCTTTGGAAAAGTAAGTTTGATGCCACATTTGTGCTTGCTTTATAAGGAGTTACACCCCTAGTATAGCACTGACATTCATTTTTTTATAATACAGGAATTGATTTAACTATATGTAGAAATTAATAAATTGGAAAGTTGCTATCTATGATATTAACTGTGTGTCTTTTGATACTAAAATCCAATAAAGAAAGCAAATAGGTTGAAAAGTATTATTTCCTCAAGGCTAGATGTTAAAATAAATTTAATTTGATCTTGCAGAACTGTTCATATTAGCGTATTAGCTGGATTTTTAGCAAGTGGGTTCTACTTAGTGTTCAATATTGACAGAGAAATGGGAAGAAATATTAAGTTCAAATGGAAATTGAATGTACCCCAAATTTTACTTTCAATGCAAATGCTTTTTTTCCATCTAAATTAAATTTCAGGTGAAGTGAGTGAAAGTACATAAACTTATCTTTGGGGATTCTGTTGTGTTTAGCCTGGGCTGCTAATCTAAGAAAAACTATCTTAATGAGTAGTCTGCCAAATAATCTGTCATTGTGTGGGATGTTCCTTCTGTGTACATGCTTTTCAAGTAATGATTATTTAATGTTCTGACTTCCTTAGAATTAAGAATATATATACAGGGGCGCCTGGGTGGCTCAGTTGGTTAAGTGGCTGCCTTCGGCTCAGGTCCTGATCCCAGGGTCCTGGGATCGAGCCCCGCATCGGGCTCCCTGCTCTGCGGGAACCCTGCTTCTCCCTCTCTCACTCCCCCTGCTTATGTTCCCTCTCTCGCTGTGTCGCTCTCTCTGTCAAATAAATAAATAAAATCTTAAAAAAAAAAAGGATAGATTATAGAAAATATTGATTTGGTTTATAGAAAAAACATACCAAAAGGAGAATTACTAAAAAGTTAATAACATGGTGTTAGGGAATAAAGGTAGCTCTCACTTTGAAATCAATCCCAAAGTGGCAATATTCATTGCTATACAGAATGGAGTCATGGTGCACCTACATTGTAGCTGAACTGGGTCACACTGTGCTTCTTAGCTGTTTCACTGCATTTTGCAACATGATAAATTTATGTGGTATGAGAAAGAAAATTAGGAATCATCTCACTTAACCCTTAAAATAACACTGACATTATTATTCTCCCTGTTTTACAATGAGGAAACTAAAGTTTACAGAAGCAACCTGCCCAAATTCGCAGATACAATAAGTGGTAGAAGCTAAAATTTGGACCCAGATAATTGGACTTCAGAGCTCACATTGTTGATCACTGTGCTATATAATTACTCTGTTCTCATATTAGTGACAACCAAAGTTTAAAAGGTTTAGCCTTGGGGCGCCTGGGTGGCTCAGTCGTTAAGCGTCTGCCTTTGGCTCAGGTCCTGATCCCAGGGTCCTGGGATCGAGCCCCGCATCGGGCTCCCTGCTTGGCGGGAAGCTTGCTTCTCCCTCTGCCGCTCCCCCTGCTTGTGTTCCCTCTCTCGCTGTGTCTCTCTCTGTCAAATAAATAAATAAAATCTTAAAGATAAATAAATAAATAAATAAAAGATTTAGCCTTGGGATGCCTCGCTGGTTCCATCAGTGGAGTATATGGTTCTTGATCTTGGGTTATGGGTTTGAGCCTCACACTGAGTATATAGATTACTTAAAAATAAAATCTTTAGAGCACCTGGGTGGCTCAGTCGGTTGAGCGACTGCCTTCGGCTCAGGTCATGATCCCAGGGTCCTGGGATCGAGGCCCACATCGGGCTCCCTGCTCTGCAGGGAGCCTGCTTCTCCCTCTCCCACTCCCCCTGCTTGTGTTCCCTCTCTCTCTGTGTCTCTCTCTGTCAAATAAATAAATAAAATCTTTAAAAAAAAAATAAATAAATAAAATATTTTAAAAAAATAAAAGATTTAACCTTAAAAGATGCTAATTAAATAACTTCCTATAAACTCATTTCACTTTCTTTCTTCTTTGAAGGTAGTAATTAAACTTTGGATTTTACCTCTAGTCAACTTGCTTTTTTATTAAAGGCTTTTAAAGAGTCTTTTTCAGTGGTTCAAACTAGTATTTTATTAATTTGGAGATATTTAAATCATGCTACTAACATTTTATTATTTGGAGATATTTAAATCTCACAGGATTTCCTTAAAAGATGCTAAGCATCTCATGAGCACTAGGTGTCGTATGGAAGTATTGAATCACTAAATTGTAGACCTGAAACTAATGTTTTACTGTATGTTAACTAACTAACTGGCATTTAAATAAAAACTTTTAAAAAGGCAGGGTTGGGGGGGGGCGTCGGGGTGGCTTAGTCAGTTAAGTGTCTGCCTTTGGCTCAGGTCATGATCCCCCGGGGTCTTGGGATCGAGCCCTGTGTTGGGTTCCCTGCTCCGCGGGGAGACTGCTTCTCCCTCTTCCTCTGCCTGCAGCTCCCCCTGCTTGTGTGCACACTCTCTCTGTCAAATAAATAAATAAAATCTTAAAAAAAAAAAAAAAACTTTTAAAAAAGAAAAAATGATGCTAAACAATCTCATTATAGCATCTATGAACAAATGTGACTGTCAGAATTCTTTTCTTTTGTTATTGAGGGGAGAATTCTTTTTATGGCAGGGCGATTTTATTCTAACATACAATTTTTTAAATTATAATAAATCATTTAAAGAATTTGGAAAACCAACAGGGAAAAAAAGCATTACCCATAATCTTACCAGAAATGTGCTTTTAAATGAAAAACTTTTATTTTTTTGAAAAACTTTTTAAAATGGAGCATTTTAAATCTTTCAAGTTGCCATCATTCAGCTCACTTCCACACTAAGCTACAAGAAATAGGCTGGTGAAAGACACTTGGTTTGTCAAGTTTGCCAGGCCAGTTGTGGTTTAATGAAAGCTGAAAATGAAGAATCTCATAGAACAGTATATGATAGGGAGTTTGTTTATTTTTTTAATTGAAGTATAGTTGACATGTATTAGTTCCAGGTGTACGAGATAGTGATCTTATAATTAATTACGAGACACTCATTATGAAAAGTGTACTTACCATCTGTAACCATACAAAGTTACTACAATATTATTAACTATTGATAGAGAGTTTTTAATCCAGTACAATTTTCTCATAAATTTTGAGAATTTCTTAGCCTTCACGTCATGTTTGGTTTAATGGTCCAAGATAAAGAGGACAACAGTTATCAAGAGGTGTTTCCATTAAACATATTTGCATAAAAGTAGGTAGATGGAAGGATTATTAGCCCTGAATCATAGCCAGGAGGACTGCTTCCTCATTTTCCTAAGTTGTTTCCTGAACCTGACCAACGGTCACTTCTCTATTCTGTGTCACCCGTTAATGGGAGGAGTGCCTCCACAAGCATTCACAGTAGGGAACAGATAAACCTGAGTCTGTTACAGAACTGTATTATTTAGCCCTTGTAAGCTTACACACATCTTAAAACAGGAAAAAAAAAACAACCCTGAAAACCTGAAATAACTTTTTCCAAACTAGCTACATTAAATTGCTCACTGTTATTAGGAGAGCCAAGAATGCACTCAGCCTTTAGGAAGTACTGTATTCAGGTTCATTAATGTATTTGGCCATACCAAGCAAATACTTGATTAACCAAGTAATTACATAGCACTTAACACTTGAAAAAGATTTTATAATTTTAATATATTTGAGGAGCTCCATGAGGTAAGTAATCTGTATTTACATTTTATGAGGAACTGACTGAATACAGAGATATGAAATGTTCTTAGGCTACCCTATTTGGTCTCTTTTTAAAGCCCTCATATTGGAAAAAATTCAGTTCAGTCTACCTCCTGTTAGTCTTTCTCCTGAGTTTCCTTTACTACTCACACAAAGCACTTCATTTCTGGTCTCTAGATGTGTAGAGATCTTTTTCCCTACACTAAGCAGTTTTTTGCGAGATCAGCTAGTTATCCCACAATTTAACTCCATTCTGACGCTGTCTGCCTGAAGATAGTGTCTGATCCCACCACGGGTTAAGGGCTCAGTTCCATAAGACTGCTCCCACCCTACTTTAGATGCCAGTCATAAGTAATAGGTCTCTAGGTTACCTACAACTTCTGTCCAGTTTGGCTACAAATTGGAGGCTCCCACAATCTCCTCTTCAGGTTTAATTTGCTAGCAGCTCACAGAACTTAGGGAAATATTATGTTTACTAGTTTATTTAAAGTATGTGATAACAGGGGCACCTGGGTGGCTCAGTCGTTACGCGTCTGCCTTCGGCTCAGGTCATGATCCCAGGGTCCTGGGATCAAGCCCCGAATCGGGCTCCCTGCTGCGCGGGAAGCCTGCTTCTCCCTCTCCCACTCCCCCTGCTTGTGTTCCCTCTCTCGCTGTGTCTCTCTCTGTCAAATAAATAAATAAAATCTTTAAAAAAAAAACTTTCTAAAAAAAAATATGTGATAACAGAAACAGAAGAACACAAGAACTACATAGGGTGAGGTCTGAGGATTCCAAGCACAGGAGCTTCTGTCCCTGTTGAGAGGGAGTGTGACACTCTCCTGGTATGATGTGTTTGCCAACCTGGAAGCTCTCTGAACCTTGTACTACTGGAGTTTATGGAGGCTTCCTCACATAGGCATGGTAAATTATTAATTCCATTTCTAGCCCCTCTCCTTCTCTGGAGGATGGAGTACGAGGTGGTGCTAAAAATTCCAAGCTTCTAATCATGGCTTATTCTTTCTGATGACCAGCCCTTATCTAGGAGCCTACCGAAAGTTGTCTCATCCAACAAAAGATGCTCCTAGTGCTCTTATCACTTAGGAATTTACAAGGGTTTTAGGAGCTCTGTGTCAGGGATGGAGTCAAATATTAGAACAAGGGACGCTCACAGTGCTCTTATCACTTGGGAAATTAGGAAATTACAAGGTTTTCAGAAGCTCTGTGCCCAGAACCAGGGGCGGAGACCAATATATATTTTCCATTATCTCACAGCTGTTTGCTTATATTTATACAGAGCTTTATGATATGCTTTGACCTACTTTCTAGTCTGCTACTCACAACCACTCATGAATTA